ATTTATATATATATATATAAAACTCTCCCCCCACTACATTTGGTACAAGTAATAAATCAATCTCAGTGGACAGCAATTTTCTTTCCAGGTGGGCTTAACATCAGATTAACACCGGAGGCGTCAAATTGTCTGCATCAGACATGGACTCCGTTCCTACACTCTGTTGATTTCAAACCATCTCATTTTCTGAACGTAAGGCATTAGGAACAGTGGCAATAAGACAACGCATATTCTTCTCCTATAGTATCTGTACAGTTCACGTATTTAAGAGCAGCCCGGGCTCATCTGCTGAACATTCAAGTGCACCTTTAGAGCAACAGCACCTCTTATGCCGTATTTTCATCGTCAAGTGGTTTGTCTGTTAGTGAGCTGCACAAGTTATTTCTGGTGAGTGACAGCTGATCAAGTAAAGCCCGACAGCAACAGCACAACACAGCCTGGATAACACCATAATGCACACCCCTTCTGGAGGGAGAAAGTCAGCCACTTCCATGCAAAAAGAAAGAAGAATGGCCTAATTAAAGACATTTCCGCTACATACTTGGCTGTAAGATTTCCATCATATTTTCCACACTGTATACCTGAATCTTATCCAAAGGGTTTGCAGAGAATCAGTGTTCCTAGACCAACACAGGAACTGCCCAGGGTTCCCCTTGTCTGTCTTACAAGCGAAAGAAAAAAAACATATACAGCAAGATGACTCTTTTGGAAAGCAATGCTCCCAGACTAAATGCATTTCCTGTGAACTGTAAGATGGCCTTTTAGGAATAGGAAATTTTAGCAAGTTTAACATCCAGCTGCAGGAGCAATTCAAGCTGCTACAGATATTACAGACCTGATGATCAAGCTGCCGAATTACCTGGATCACAAGAATATCACTGTACATGGTGTCATTAACCTGCCACGCATTAGAGAGCTCATAAAAAATGCAACTCTCGCACCGCATTAACATCATCTTTAAGGAACTGCACTCTCATGCAAACATTAATTGAGTAATAAGCATTCTGATTTCTTTTTTTCGCTCTCTCTCCCCTCTCCTGAGTTCTACTTTCTGCTCGAATGGAGTCTACAGACCCTTGCTGTGATTGCCAATTATATGAAAAAGGGCTGAATCCATTTGGATGGCTGGGTAGAAGCAATGTCTTGATGAAACTATAACCACATGCACCACTCTCAAAGCATCTGCCCTCCAATAGCCTACAAAATATCCACCTCCTGAGCACAATGGCAGTAATGGCCTATCTTGGTGAGCTGAACATTTA